TTCCCTTTATAAATATAGGCGAAGTTTTTGTCCTTTTATGTAGGTGGTTAAACTAACAATAGCATAGTCAGGGTTAAGTAGGTTACACTAACAAAGGCACAGCAAGGGTCTAGAGTTGTTTGTTGAAATAACAGTAATCATCAAGTGTTCCTTTAATCGAAGCTAAAGTGGGCCTATGTTTAGTACAGACTCAGACTGTTCGATAGATAGATCCTGTGAAATTTGTAAAAAGTCATGGGGTGTTAATTTATTTCCTACAGATCTTTGCAAACTACAACCTGGTTGTAGGTTATACGTCACAGGATCGAGTATATCCAGAAACGCGCGTGTCGGGTAATACTCGCGATCGGGTCGGCTTATACTTCATACCCCGTGGCATGAAACGCGCGTGTCGGGTAATACTCGGGTCGGCTTATACTTCATACCCCGAGGCATGAAACGCGCGTGTCGGGTAATACTCGGGTCGGCTTACATACTTCATACCCCGAGGCATGAAACGCGCGTGTCGGGTATACCGGTAATACTCGGGTCGGCTTATACTTCATACCCCGAGGCATGAAACGCGCGTGTCGGGTAATACTCGGGTCGGCTTATACTTCATACCCCGAGGCATGTGCAACACTGGACTTACCTACTCTAGAAGACCGAAGGGTCCAACTTTGCTTGAACTTTGCTAGGAAAGATCTCCGATCACAGGACTTCCAACACTGGCTGCCGCCCATGAGGGGCACCACCACTGAGCGCACCACTCGTTCCAGTAACAAACTGACTCTTACCAAATGTAGAACTGAGCGGTACGAACAGAGTAGCATCCCATATATGATCCACCTAGTACCTATTGAACAGTCACTGTTTGTCTTAGACCGTATCATGTCAAAGACGTTGTCAATAATGATGTGGACATTTGTGCTGATGCCTGTGTAAATAAATGTAAATAAATGTGTAATGAATTCGCATGTACAACTGGACGTACTTCAGCTTCGGCTGCAAAGTCCACCTTTTTTTTATGAATAAAACACCATTTGATGATTAGCCCATGGGCACTTCCCCTCAGCCAATGGGAGCTGTTCATTTACTGTGGTTATATCCACATAGTGTGAGACCACATTTGCTCATTTAGCTGTCATACATTACATCTAATAATATAACATCCATATCATGGTATTATATTGTGCAAGGCATTCATAAGATGACACATAAAATACGGGGCGAGTAATCGGTTTGCAAATACACAAAGGCAAGTCGAAGTAGTGGAAAAGTTACATAGTCAGCAAGTAAAACAGGCCCTCAGCACTACATTAATTTCCATATGAGAACAGACTGAGAGCATAATTGTCAACAGTCCTGCAGTCCCGGTGCTATTTATCACGGTATTGACTTTTAAATACCATCAATAACAACAATAAACATCTACACAATCAAAACTACCATATACAAACAAAAACACCCACCAAAACAATATCACACAGTCGAAGGCATGAGCCCTACGAACTCTAGTTTTTTTTTAATAAACATTCCACAAAGACACTTAATGAACAATAAAGGCATTATTCTGTACCTACACGGAGCCTACAGCTATACATACTAAAATTTCCTCTACACGAAAAATCCTTTCTATACATTCCAAAAATCTTATCTATACATTCTAAAAATCACCCCCATATACATTCTAAACATCACCGCCATACACTCTAAAAATGACCTCCGTACATTCTTAAAATCACCTCTAGGCACCTCTGTTAACTTTTAAGTTCACGTTTTAGAAATTCTTGTAATGATTTTAAATAAAATGTATTTAATAAACTGTGCAACATTTAAGGAAATTGTGCAATATTATGTGTCTGTGAATTGTATCACAATGTTATGTGCTTAACCCTATCTAGACCGGGGGGGAGGGGGGCTAAAAGTGCCCGCGGCAACTTTGATGTCACATAGCGTCTGAACGGCTAGAGCTAGAACCGCCAAACTTGGTGACTTTTCCTCAAATATTGTTGGCAACAAATCTGTACCAGTGGAATAAGATTATGATTTTTCTTGTTGCCATGGCAACGGGTTTCTGACAGGCATTTTTTGCCAAATTTAATAATTTCCATTTAAACAACAGAATTTTATGGGTTTTATTTCAAGTTACACATTGTTTCGCATATTAATAACATCACATATAATTATATGTAAATTTTATCATTAAAAATGCATAATTTATGCTAATTTGATGACGTCATTGTCCAAGATCCAAGATGGCGGACCATATCATTAGAACAGGTAAATACAGCTTATTTTCCTTAAAATTTCATTAATACTCCCATTTCTTAAAAAAAAAGGTTTATATGAACGTCTTTAGTCTGTTTACAATGTATTTTAGGCTTTATCCTAAAAAAAAAATATTTTTGAAAATTCAAGATTGATGATCCGAGATGGCGGATAGGTAATATATGCATGACGTCATTTTATGACGTCACCGGTGCTGCTATGGGCAACATAAGACAATACATTCTAATATTCTGTCATAAACACTTTTGGTAAAGTTATGTCGTATACTGTTTAGTTTTCAGGGAATAACCTATCTAGACGGTTTTGACCAATAAAATCACATGAATGACGTCACAATGACGTCATATTACGTCACAACGACAGAAAAATTGTACGTATGATAAATTTTTACTAGTACATCATCCTCTGAAAATTTGGTGGTCCTACGATATACCGTTCGCGAGTTCTGAGGGGGGG